CCTTGTCTTGAAATGTTTTTTGTTCTGAGCACACCTTTGCTGTTCTCCCTCCTCCTGCTTCTTTGCCAGGACCTTGGGGAATGCAAAAAGCAAGAGAAGGTCGTAATGCATGGCTGCCCCCTTCAGCTCCTCCTGTACTCCCTCTGTCCTTCCCTCTGTTGTTGCCTCCAATGGCACTGCTTTGGTGCTCTTGGGTCCCCATGAAGTGTGATGAAAAGTCCATAGGAGAAGAGAGGAGGTGTGAAGTAACTTGGCTTGCTTTTTTTTTGAAATGGTTCTTCATGTCTTCCATTTGAAAACCCCTTTAAATGTGTCACAAACAATCACAATCTGTCATGCAGAGGGCGTGAAGCTCTACTGAGGTCCTACTTCATCAACAGTGAGATCCAACATCTCCCAGCAGACCAGGATTCATAGCTGGAATAAATCCAAACTTACAGTTGTGTCTTGCCAACATCTATCTTTGTTCTTATCCTATATGTATTTGACCCCTTTCTCACTGAGTCTTGCCACTGGCTTCACTAGCTTTGGGGTGGCCTAGGAGAGCCAAGATTTAAACAGAGGCACTTTACAAAAAGGAGTTCAAATCCACTTTCTGGGTGCCTGTTATAGAGTAGAGCCAGATGTATGTGCCCACAGGCTTATTTCTGCTCTGAGGTGCTGCTCTCAGTGATGGGACACCTGGCTGCTGCCCATGCACTGCTCAGCACAGCTCTCCCTTGCTGAAATGTCTTCTATTTCTTACCTCACCAGCACAGCAGCTGCCCTCTGGCCAGTCCAAGCTCCCACAGACTGCTTCATAGGATGTTCAGGATAGACACAGGTTACGTTAGCATTTCAGTATCATGTAGCATCTGTGGCCTTGTAAAAATGTAAACCCATATTTTAATACTGTTAGACAGCCTCCTGCAGCCCACAGGCAATGAGGGATATCAGGTTTCATTTTGTGAAGCACAAGCCCTCCGTTTTCACTGAAGTCCAACTGCTCTTGAGCAGAAGCAGTGATCAACCTTGCCATATCCCATGGGAGTATGTCCCAGCAATCAGTTGCCCTCCAGGGTAAAGATGTGAGCATGGCTTCTAAGTAGAAGTTGTCTGGTGTTAGCTTGTAGCCACTAGTTTTTTTACTACTTTTTTTCCATCATAAAAAAGAACCATATAATGCCACAGCTTCCATGTAGGTATCTGTTCTCTACACCCACAGTACGCTCAGATTTCTTCTTGGATATTGTGAAGGCCAAATGTTTGGTCCTGGATCAAAGTCTTCAGTCCTAGAACCACACTGGGGTCTCCTCTCCACATGTATGGGGATGTCTTTCTATCTACGGGTCTCCCACCTCCATCTCAGCAGGTCCAGGAGGAAAATCACAGGCCCCTGGCTTTCTCCTGCTTATGCACTTGGCAGCTTGGAGCGACACAATGAATTTTTTCTCAGCTGTCTGTTCTCTGTGAATCCTGCAGCCTTTTCTAAACAATGAGCAGAATCAGAACAGAGTCAGAAATGGGCTGTTTTTATGTAGTCCCACATTTCTTTTTCCTACACAGGTCACATTGCTCCTGGCTGAATAAGAACAAGTGTTTGCAAAAAACCCAAATGGCCCCAGAAGTGGACCAGTTGTAAAACGTCCTCATTATTACTAGAACTACAGAGCCAGTATCATATATCTCTTATTTACATCTATATGAGCTATAGCCAGTGTGCTTGTCTGATTTCCAAGAGGCAGAAAAGAGGTCAGAGCTGGACTAAATTGATCTGCAGCACAGAGGCTGCAGGCCAGGAGGTGAGGGCACTCCCTTGGACAGACCCTCTTTTGCCTGGAGGAAGTAAAGGACCATGCCAGGAAAGAGACGCAGGGCCCTGGCTGGCCTCATTAGAGAAAAGTCAGAGTGAGAGCACCATGGTTTTAAAATCTGAGAGGCAGGAGATTCAACTGCATTCGTAAATGTTGCTGGCACAAGGTGGCACAGTCGCTACACTAAATCCCGTGCATCTGGAAAGATCCCCAGCTCTGTACTGCTGCGCTTTGCGGCATCTCCGATGAGCCTGCCTTGTGCCTGGCATGACGAATAAGGAGCTACACGAGGTTTTCCCGTAGAGAGCATTGTGAGCGATCAAGAGCAGATGCTGTGGCCAGCAGCTTCACAGAATTCATGCATGACCAGCTGGCTCCCGGCGGAGAGGAGGCAGCCCGGGCCACGCTCGGGCTTGCTCGTGCTCGGGCATTGTGTGACGTGCAGCCTTGGGAAGGGATGCTCGTGCTGGCTCCAGCACACGTGTTCCTGCCAGCATCAGCACAGGTGCTGTCACTGTCCCGTGCCCACAGACGGGGAAAATCTCACACCGCAGTCACCTAGCAGGGGCTTTGCTGGGTTTTGTTGTGGTGGTGGATGCACCCCTACGTGACTCACTCAGCAAGGGCAAAGCACAGCTGTTGCCTCTCCCTGGGGACCCAGGCCCGGTAGCTTTTGAGGTAGAGTCTCTCTGGGTTTTGGCTATTCATGCATTTGTTCCCAGTGCTGCAAAAGATGTGGTTTTCTTGACAGTTTGTCCTCGTTTTGTTGTTACTCCTCACTTAGCTGTGTCACACTAGCCTGTGCCTCAGTGCTGTAGGAGGACTGATGCTCTCAGCTGTTTGCAGCATCTTCAAAACTTCTCCTGGCTCCTCTGAAAGGCAAGTGGCGTTGGGCACCTCAGATGAATGGCAGTCATGTTTGGAAGTAATCTGCAATCCGGGTCACGCAGAGACAGCTAGCTGTGCCTGCACTACCACAGCTTTGTGCTGAGGGCCTGCAGCCAGCCCAGGACTTCTCCATGCAGAGGGCAGATCCAAGCTTACCCTAGGGATACAAACAAGGTGGCAGTGATGAAATCAGGGGTGAAATGTTCCCTGAAGTGATGGCAGAACTGATGACAGGGAGAAGTAGTATGTGCTTTTCAAAGCAGCCTGGGGCAGAGTTTGAGTGGTTTATTTTGGGATGCAGAACTTGGTCCAGAGCCTGGTGCTATTCAGACCCAGTGTGCTGTCCCTGAGGGTACCCACGCTGCTGCAGGCTGCAGTGGCAGTGGCTCCTGACAGACATGCAGTGGAGGAGGATGGCAGGTGGGAGCAGGGCTTACTACCACACGGTTGATTTGCATTAGTGTCTGTGCTGTCCTGTACACCTGCCAATACAAAGCAGTCACTTCCAGTCAAGGGAACTTCTCTTTGGCTCTGATCAGAGCTGTGGGGCACAGGGGTCTCCAGGATGGTCTCTGTGAGGGCCAGAACTCAGCATGACATCCATCTTGTTGCTCTTGCTCTCTGCATCTGCTATCACCTTACTGGAGGAAAAATCTCTACACAGAAGTGTTCCTGTGGTGGTCCAAACACAAATGCCTGCCTTGAGGTTGACCAGGGCTTGCAGAATGCAGACCAGGCACTGATACAGCTTTGAACTGGAATATTTTGCATCATCTGCAGATGCTGCTCCTCACTGTTCATCCCCAGTTACATGAGTCATGCTGCTTCGAGCCTTGGGACGCTCAGCTGTTAACCCTTGCAGTAAGGAGAGCTGACTACTTACTCCTGCTACATAAATGCCACATCTCCTTTGTCTCACAGGTCATCTGTTCTTTTTCACCAACCACTTTCTGCAGCTGGAGTTTTTCAAAGTCTTTCTGATCATCCAAACAAATCACATCAAGTAGTTTTACTATAGTAGCTCTTTTTGTTGATGTGCTCCAATAATTCAAAGACATGAGAACAGATCTGAGATTGGTATCTTGCCAGCCAGCATGACCAGTGCTGACTCAGTAATGGCATATCAGATGCACAGAGCACTGGCAAAGATGGTGCTTGCTGCAAGCTTGTTGTATCTTAGTGAATGAGTAAAAAGAAATCAAAGAGAGAGACTCACATTCTTTGCTTGGCCAGGATGGTAAATGTTGCTTTTCTCTATCCTCCTGGCCATTTTCCAGGTTTCCTGACTTTTTTTGTCCTCTCAGTTTCTAAGAAATTAATCTTCAAATCCTTCTTGTCTCACTTTTCCTCCATATGCAAAGTCATGTAACCTGAATGCCTGTTTACTGAGAGCTGCAGGGTTTTGCAACTTCCCTGCACCCTACACCACATTTCTGGGCATCCTTTTGTCAGCACCTTTTTAAAGGGTTCCTGCAGGGAAACTAGTGTCTTCCTTTATTACTAGACGCTGTCTGTTGGTTTGACTCTTGCTCTCATAGCATCTCTGCTATTATGTCAGCTCATAACTCAGAATGCATATTTTGCTGCTGTCCCAGCAAGATTTTGGAGTAATACTTTATTCACACATCAGCTTTTACAGTATTTCCTCAGCCCTGGATTACAGGAGAAGAACTTCCTTTGTGTTCCCTGGATGAAGTTGCTCTTCTGCTTAAATTGTGGCTAAACTTAGTTTGATACAGCCTGAATGGCAAGTGAGGCTACTTTGGAAGATTTCACTTGATTGCAGATAATGGTGCAAATGGCATTTGGAAAAATATGTTGCATGAGGGTTACTGGGAATCAGCTCGTGAGAATTCATGGCACAGTGGTAGAAGATTCAACCTCAGGGCTGATGCCTGAAGGCTGAGTCTGAGGGCTATGTTTTGTGAAAGGGACTGACAACCTTCATGTGAAGTTTTGCTTCAGAAAGCATGTCTCCCACAAGATATGACTTTGCTGGAAATGGGAGTACAGATGGCTGGCAAACACTTTTATCAGCTGGGTGGCATGCCCTGGCTGGGGAGGATTTTGTTTGAAGTCTCCTCAGCCCTCCCAGCACAGAGTCAACTGGTGCGGACAAATCTCATGGCACATCTCCTTCTAATCAAGTGTCAGCACCTCTGATGGGAAAGCTTTGTGCCCAGAGGGAGGATGTGACTGGGAGTCACAGAGGAAGGACTGAACTTCAAAGAAGGAAGGATTCCCAGCTTGGATTGATCCATCAAGTTATCTATATCAAAATATTGATGAAATTATTTGACTTGTTACAAAGATCCATACCTGTTTAAGGTAAGCTGTATTGATACATGTGCTGCAGTTTTCTGAAGTGTGAAAAGATGCCAGGAAACTCCTTCTTCACCAACTCCATCAGCTGCTGATGAGAGTAGCAAAAAAATGTTAGATTGTTATTACCTCATTTCTTCAAGGTTTAATCATTTGCTCACAGCTCTGTGATCAGGCTGAATGCTGCTGATTTTCCTGATGGGGAGGAGTTTCTTGGAGCCTGCAAGAGCTCTGCTATTGACTTCAATAATAATAGCATTCTGGTTAATGCTGCAAAATCTCTGCCTTGTTTAGCCTGTAAAAACCCTCATGCATGGGTCTCTTCAATCTATTAGGGAAACAGTTTACTCACCTCAGTGAGCAAATCTGGAGGCAGAGCCTGTGGACAGTTACATCTAGAAGATGGAGGACCATCATCTCTTTGGGGAAGGGAGCCTGTGTTTCACATGGTTGCTTCTTGGTCACCTCTGAGTGTGCAGGAGGTGGAGGCAGTGTGTTCTCTTTGCCTGCGGCGTCCTGTGACTGCCCTGCTGTGTGACTGAGAGTTTCCTCAAAATTCATCCTCCTCTCCCTCATTGCAACTCCCTCTCTAAATCCCAGGCCTTTAACAAGGATCCTCTTATCTACACAGTGGCTTCTCTGAGTCTTTAGGGATACTGATTAGAAAAGTTTTATGTTAATGAAGAATGAGTCCAGAATAAAGCATGCAGCATAGTCAAATCTCTCAGTGAGGTAAACAGCAGAGAAAAATGTTTCCCTGTTTAGAAAAAGGTTCAGCACATCAGGTTGCTGTAAACACAGGACTGCTGGATTGCTGGTCTGCTTCGATCTCAAGCCTGGTTCCTCTTGCTTTAAGCTTTTTGGAGTTAAAGCAGGAGGTAATGAAATTCCTGATCTGTAACCCACACAACATGCATGTCACAGCAGAATTTGACCTCAAAGTATACATGTTTTTACATGCAGATTAAATGGCTTATTAGTAAACAGATTTTTAGCAGCTTTTTAAAATTCAGGTCTAAATTGTCCATTTTCAGGGGTTACAAGGGAAGCAGAGTTCATGCATGCAATTTTGACTTCACCTACTCAAAACCAAGCCTTCAGGGCAGAGAAACCCCAGTGAAGGAGGAACAGAGATGCAGAGCTAAAGGCTTTGGGTCCTCCTGGGTGAGTCAGCGTCACAGCCCCCTTATCTGCAGGCACACGTGTTTGTCCACAATCACACCATGCGAGGGTTAGGTAAGGGATACTTGGGACTGCTATTTTGGATTTGGCTGCAGAGCTAATTTTAGCAGTTTCCTGTAAGAGTACACATGTTAAGTCTCTGAGACTACCTGAAATGCCAAGAGCAGTCAGGTGGCCTGGCTTGGCCCCATAAGGAGCGTGATGTGCAGAGCAGCAGTGCAGGAGAGGGAGAGGTGCCCTGGGGAGGACTGGAGGGATGCAGCCCAGGATGGGGAGAGTGGAGGGAGGCTTGTGGGATGGGAACAGCATGGAGGCCATCAGTGAAGCTGGTACAGGTACAGCATCCCCAGATGGGCTGTCAGGAAACATTACAGGTCAGGGCTAAGGGCACATTAGCAGATGTGTGTGCAGGAAGAAAGCTTTAGTCCGTGAAATCATTTTCTTGCTTGCATGCACAGCATTCACTCAGAAATATAAAGATAAAATAATCCCTTGGCTTTCTGCATGCTGTATTCTTGATGTTTCATTCATAGCTTTATAGGCTTCCTCAAATATTCATGTATCATATCATAAGTGAAAGGGAGAAAAATTGTTCTTTTTCAGGCTCACAAACAAATGGGGAAAAAGAAATAAACTCAAATCCCAGAGCAGTATAATAACAGTTTTAAAAAACATGAGGAACCAGTGTGTTTTTTTAATAGCCACAGTAGCTTAGGGTCCCAGTAATATTTCATTATATTACATTTGAACACCAAATCGACCCATTTTGTAATTGCAAAAGGCAAATTAAATTTCTGTACACTGTCTGGAGAACCAGAAGACCATGGAACAGTAAGAAGGTCACATGACAGCATGAATTGTAGCAGGACAGAGCTACAAGGAGCCTCCAGATTCATGCAACCAGGGGTACTGACGAGCCTGTTGGAGACTTCAAGGAGAGGTGTGTGGATGACAGGACGTGCAGGCAGAGCAAACATCCCTTTGCATCTTGTGGCTCAGTGGCACTGTACTTAATGCAGAATGTACTCACAAAGAGTTTCCCCAAGGTATTTGACTCTCAAAAGGAATTGACCCTGAAACAGAAGGGTTGCTCAGCAAGGAGCCTCTTCATTTCACCCTTCACTGTGCCTCTACCTGTCCACATGGACAAGGAAGATCTCTTGGGTTGCCCACAGTTCTTACAGCTGAGGAGACGGATCAGTGGATGAAGATCTTAACCGGGTCTCTCTGCAGACTGTTGGGAAAGCTGTGCCCATGGTTGCGGCTCAACAGAGCAAGGAAGTGACTGGCAGTCAGGACTCAGGATTAGTTTCTCAGGCTCTGCCATGGATGTGCTGTGCAACCTTTGATAAATTGCTTAGGAAATCACTTTCAAATGCCACAGATACAATTGGGTGCATCTATATAAAAGTGCCTTCTTTTCAGAGGCCCAAACCAGCAAGTCTGGAAAAATCAGCACTTTTGGACTCCAGCCCACTTCTGAGTTTGCAAAATGTTCCCTTTAGCTTCTTTTTGCTTGCTTCACCATCTGTCAAATAGGGCTGTTAATACTGACTCTGTACAGAGTTTTAAGCTTCTGAGACTAAAAGTGCATGATAATAAGTGTTAGTAATTACAATACTGTCACCACATGCAACCAGGTCTTCAGGGATTGGTTTGCTGTTTGAAAGACAAGTAGAAGTTAAAGCTAAGGCACACACTTGGTGCTTGGCCCCTCTCAAAGAGCGTTTGAGTTTTTTAGCTGTATGGATTCTGCTGTAGCTGGTTTGATACTTGGATGTAGGCTGTGGCTGTCTGTGGGTTACACTTAAGAGGGATCCAGCCAGATGTTTCTTTGTGACAGCTCTGGGGAGTGGGGAAATCAAGAGAGGAGAGGGTCAGGGGGTCACTGCCCAAAGGGGCTGGGCTGTGTCTGTATGGAGAGCCAGGGTAAGGTCATCCCTTGCAAGGACCTTTGCTCCTTTCTCCTCTTTTTCTCCCACTTCAAATCTCAGAGGACCGTGCAGTTACATTTCCTGAGACCATGAAGCCACATTTCCTGACAGGCAGTTGCATCCCACTATGGTGACATTGCATGGCCTGTGGCCCTGCAGCACTGTCAGGCAGATCAGTAATTTGGAACAAAGAGATCCAGGAGGACTAAAACAGTGATGCTCTACATGTGGCTAAGCTCCTCTAGGTACCCTGACCCTCTAAAAGTGGTACCTATGGAGTGTGGGATAGGAGTAGGTCAGCCAGGGCATCATCCTGAGGGATGATGCATGGCTGTGTTACTCCCTGGCCCTTCTGACACTGAAGGCCATCTGTTTAATCAGTGCCTCCCTCTGATGCTGCTCTCCTCAATGAGCTGCCCATCACCTCTTCTCCATGCCTGCAGGTTTACTGGGGCTCCTCAGCTGTGCCAAGCCCCACCACAACCACACATACCCAGCTTAGGCGGGGGCACCTCCCACGCCTTTGGGTCAGTTTGGTTTGTGTCAGGCCCCGGTGGCAAGTGTAACCGCCCTCCTTCCCCCCCTTTCCCTTCCCCTCCTTGCCACTTCCCCCCGCTGCATCCCATCCCTTTGCCTTTGTTGGGGGGGAAGGGGTGACCTTGGGGAGCCAGTGCCGTGGGGCTCCCTGGAGCACCCAGTCTCCTCTCCATCTTGCTGCTGTGGTGTCTGCTCCCCAGCCTGTGCCCAACATGCAGCCCTGGTGAGCTCGCACGCTGCCTTGCACCATGTCCATTGCTCACTGACAGCCTTCATCTGCAAAACAGCTTTTTCCTGTTGGATATTAACTTCTTCCCTCTTTTTCTTTTCTCTCTCTGTCTTTCTCATGTTCTTTCACCACAGCCCTGCTGCTCACACAAGGTAAGTGCTTTTTCTCCTTTCCTCTGGCTGCTCTGGCTCTCTTTTTGTCCCTTTTGGTCAGATCCTCCCTGCTTGTGTTTGTTATGTTGTAGACAACCTCAGCTCATGATGTTTGTGCTAGTTTAGTTAAGAGCACTACAATTAAGAAAATAACAGTGATTGATTTATTGATTGATTGACTGACATCTGAGAGCATTTCCCATATTCCAGATTTTTCCTTGCTGTCTGAGGGAAATGATCCAGACAGAGTTGCAAAGCAATACATGCAGCTATACCTGGTCTGAAGCTGTTACTCGAGCCTCTCTTTAGGCAGCTCTGGTGCTTGGGTTGTGCTGATGCCTGGGGGAAGATGGGGATTTCTGCAGGGAGGGGGCATTTCTGCAGTGTGGGACAGTGTTGCCTGGGGTGGGTGAGGGTACAAGGTTGTGCAGGTGTCCCCTTCCTATGGAGGGTCACATGTCACCCCTCAGCGCCTTCACCCCTGTGCTCTCCACCTCCCATCCTAGGGGGTCCCCAGGGTGTGCACAGCACCAGAGCTGTACTACCAGAATATGATCAGCACCATTTCCCTCCTCACCCTCAGCTCTGGTTCTGCACTCTGCATCTCCTGTCCCTGCGTCAGGATTTCCTGTGTATTGATACAGAGCCCCTCTTCCTTGCCTGAAATCCCCATTACACTGGTCTGTCTTTATCCTGCTGTGGCGCAGTGTATGCCTCCTGTATTGTGGTTATTCTTTCAATTCCAGATGCGATTACTGTTCAATTTCCACTAAAGAAGCATTTCTTGAAAGATAAGGGTGGGCATGGAGGTTGCAGAGAGGAGCTTGAAATCCCACAGGTTTGCGAGCAGAGCTGAAAACCAAAGCATTCATGATGCCTGAGCTGTGCTGCAAATCCAAGGAGCAGCATCTGCCACGCAGCCTTCAGTCTGGCCCCTTTTCAGAGGATGCCAAATCTGCTGCACAGGGGATGTCCTGAGCCCATTGGCTATTGGACTAATTAGAAAATTGCTAGTGGCAGGCAGAAATCCCCAGTTCCCCAAATACCAGCTTAGGGTGTTTATGGAAAACTCCTCGGAATGGTTTGGACGGTTTCCTTTGTTACTTCTTCAGATCCAGGAGGACTGGAAATGAGTTAAGCACAGCCTCCTTCCCAGTAATTTCATTGCTTTAATTCAGTAGCTGCCTAATTTGATCAGAACCCCGGGAACCAAATAATTCCTATTAAAATAACATAACTTTCCTCCCTCTGTTTTGATCCAGGCTGATTGCTTTTGGCAGCTGTTGTTGGAGAAGTTGGTCATCAGCTATGAAAAGTTACTTTTCGGTTCATAAGAGCCTCCTCTCTGTCTGGTGAGGGGTCCCTGGGGTGCCCCCCTTGCCCAGCTGCCTCAGGGTGTTCTCTGTGTATGTGAGGGGTGCTGGGCTCGTGGTGCTCGGCCCCCACACGTGCTTCAATCCAGCAGCAGGCCGGCAAGCAGGCACGTGCTGGAGTGTCACTCAGCAGCAATCACGGCTGATCAGTGGGGAGAGAAGCGACGTCCTCATTTAGTCCACGTCATGTTAGATTTAGGTTACACCGGCGCATGGGAATCTTTGTTTAAAAACTGCATTATTGAATGTTCCAGTGGAATCTGTCTGTCCCACACCTCATCCCTTGCTTCCTGGAGCAGCTTGTACAGCTCTTCCTGGGCAGCATCCCATTCCTGGGAATGTGTCCCTGGGGCTGTTGGGTGCCCTGGCTCTCCTCTGCAGCCCTGGGGCATTCCCCTTCCCATGGCACTGCTTTGGCAGCCCCTGCAGGGCCAGCAGCTGCACAGCCCCGGATCACAAGAGTGATCCCTTCTCTTCACAGAAAGTGTGGGTGCCCTAATGGATGCGCCCAAGTGACAATGCCTCTCTTGTCCCAAGAGCCCTTACCTGGGAAGAAATGAGGGATCCTGACTTTGGCCCCCCCCAAGCCTTGCAGGGCCCCCCCAAGGAAAACAGGGCTGTGAATTTTACACAAGGTGAAGTAACTGGGCAGGGCACCAGTTCTGCTCAGCATTTATTTCTTCCAAATTTCTTCTGTCTCTGAGCCAGACTTGCAAGGCCATGCAATGCTTGGCCATGTGTCCAACGCCAGCTGTTCAGGCTTCAGAGTAGTATGGCATAACTGTGGAGAGTCTGTTTTG